TCTTTTTCATTTTTTATTATAGAGACAAAAATCTTTTTTCCTGTGTTTGCTGCCATCTAGAGGAAATAGCCATACTTGTCTGCAGGTTGCTAGAGCCCACAGGGCCTGAGTTATACACTTTCAAAAATGAATTTAAAATTAAAAAATCAAAAAGCGCCTCTTTTTTTGTGTGTTTATTACAGCTCAGACAACATATACTTAAATGTTTATCACTTTTAGCACTGTTTTATGAAACTGCAGAGGGTTTCCTGTAAAATGACACCAAAACTGTGTATTTAGGCCAAAGTATGTGGGAATGGGAAGCTTTTTAATTTGGGTAGGCCAAATTCAGGCGGAAATCCACAAAAATGGCTTGGGGCTTTACACAGCTTTGCTAGAAGGCTTCAGTCAGGTGAGTTTGATCAGGGTTGGAGCTAAACTCTGCAGTGGCCCTCCAGAGCCGAGTTATCCCGATGCCTGTTTTACAGCCTTTACAACCCAGTGCTGCTGAGGGACATTATATTAATTAATGTATGAACAAATTTATAGCAATGTCTGTCTTCAGAAAAGTTTCGATGGCATTTTCTTTTCATCTCACCTCAGCAAAAACCTGACAGATTTTTTATGCGATGTTGTAAATTTGAACCAGTTGATGAAAAATAAGCTAATGTGCATTCTAAAAATCGAAACAATTCGGATAATGAGGTATCTAGTACGGTGACCGGGAGGGGACATGTTCGGTTTACTTAGTTTTGTCGCAATGCGCAAGTGTTTTATGCTACTTTCAGCACGACGCAGTTATCATTTTCACGTCCTACGCCACGTTGTTTAAATAGCAAATGCATTTGTGCGCCCATGGGCGTGCTGGTCTGAAAACGAGGTGTGTTCAGGCGCATTGTTGGCGCGTTGCTATTTTGAGGCAACTGAAATAGAACATTTTTTGTTATTTAACTCTCTGGGGTCGGCGGTCTCGCCGGCGATACCAGCTCACTTTTTTCCTTATCAGTGCAAAAGAGACTCAAATTACTCTGTTAATTTTGATCTTACATATAAGTGTTGTACATCATTCGATCCTGTTAAGTTTGTATTTTTTTTGTGGAACCTCATAATAAAAACAAAGTGTTGTGCTTTTCGCCTAATAAAGAAAAATAAACATGATGCGCGTTCTGCGTTCTCTCTGTCAGTGAAGTCCATTCTGAAACGCGTCCGAAAAATCAACTGTAACTCTGCAAATACTCAGTCAAACAGGTACACAGGCACACAGGCATGAAGCCTGAATTGTCTTCTTTTAAATGAAGTAATTTATATAAAAAAATGTTTTTCTCATTTTATGTAATCTGTACGAAAAGAGAGAGATGATAGTCGTTCTCGTCTCAGCTCATTAAAGTTAATTTGACCACGCCCACGGAGCGCGCGCTCTATTCAAAAAACAAATGCTCTGAGGCGATCCACGCCCACACCAGCTGGATAACCACCGAAAGAGACTCAGATTTACGACGCTGTGAGGAATAATAGTACTATCTTAATAATAATCCTGGAAAAAATTACCTCAGAAGTAGGCTACAGGTAGTTTCATTTGGAGGAGCAACGGATCCAGCCGAGGAAATAGGTACATTCTTTATTTTCAAGTGCTTTGTGCTAATCGCGATATGGAATAGTGTCTGTAAACAAAAAGACTGTTTGAATCGCGTTTTTGTGTGTGAATGAATGAACAGCTTTTACCTAACTATATTCCAATACTGAGATGAGTAAAAATCGACTGAAATATGTTGAAATAAAATATTTTTGTATAAGCAACGTATTAAACTGCAAATTAACATTTATATGTCCTAATCATAAAAACGATATGTTACATATGAAAGACAAGATGTCGTTTTTACTGTAAAATACTGCCACATCAAATAAGCTTGTTTGCTAAGATGTTATTATAGTATTTGTTCGATTGTAAGCTATATTCAAACTAATTAATCCGCAACTGTGAAATATGTATGATAAAATGTATACTTTAGTATATAATACAAAGAAAGATTACATTTGAAATATAGTTACATTTTAATTGTTGTTGTAATTGTAACCTTTTTATTAAAATAGCAAAAATATATGTAGGCTACATATAAATAAATCTTAGGTAAATCTTAAAAGCTCAATATAAGCCTCCTCTTTAAATTATTTGTATTGTGTTTTATAAGTGACACATTTGGGATACATTCCCAAACTTTCTGTAAAAACAGTATGATAATTAACTGCACAATTACTATAAATTTTTACATTTGATATTATACAATTTGCAAGCACAATTTGAAAAATAAATAAATAATTGGAACTGTGAACCAATTTTGTATTATATAGGCATATATATATATATATATATATATATATATATTGTCATTGCATTGCATTCTTGTGGCTCAGTGACACACCTGAATGAAAGGGTCATTAGTATGCAGCCCCATTATGCACTCATTATGCGGGCCCATTGTCTTCTCAGGTGTGAATCACAGCAGGTCACACCCCTGCGCATATTGCCTTTCCAAACAAAAAGTTTCATTTTTAAATTTAAACCAATCTATTGTTTAATGTGAATGATAAGGCAGGATGATTTTCAGATCATTTTGAAGAAAAAACTCTAGGCCACAACACCCATTAGTCAAAAGTCTTGTGGACAGATATTTAGTATGTGTTTTGTGGCCTTATTTCAGAAACTTTAAGTTTTAGTTTTTTCAATAACCACGCATAAACAATATTCTCTCAAAAATAAAAAAATGTACATACATGTTGATAACACATTATGGTAGCCCTGTGTGTGCTAAATAGAGTGTAATTACACCTTTGCCAGTAATATGTTTATAAGCAACTGAAAAAAGCACAAATGTCAGAGTATGTGAAAACATCTCAAGGACCCCAAAACACCTTGGACCCCAGAGGGTTAAAGAGTGCGTTAGTAATATGCTTCTATAGGTGGGTCCACAACGTGCATACACTTTGTCCCGTAGATCCGTTTCCTCGCTAGAGAAGTGTTCAGTTTTTCCGCTTGCAAATTCCGCCATGTAAATAGCGAATCCTCCATGGCGCGAGCATAACTGGCTTTTAAAGGGAATATGAGATGAGACTCTGATTGGTTTATTGCATGTTACGCCCAAAACACACCCATTACTCATTAAGAGAATAGGGACAACCCTTTTAGACCATGCGCCGGGCCCGCCAACCATTTTTGCGCCGTGAGCTTTAGATCATGAAGCTTAGATCGTTAAAATAGGGCCCTTTATGTATATACATTACATTAACAGACACACACAGACACATTAAATAAATAAATAAAAATGTAAATATAGCTATCCGAAACCGTTAAAGTTGTTCAAAGCACTCATTATTACCAATTTCGTAATAGTTGAAACAGAAAAAATATGTATTGATTTTCAGTAATTTTTGTAAATTATTCCAGTTTGTAGGGGCAGCAAAATTCAAATCAGAACGACCATAATAGCTTTTTCTTCTAGGAACATTGCGAAGAATACTTTTAGGGTTTCTAGTGTGAAACATTACAAGGTTGGTTTAGCTAAATATTTTGAAGATGAACTGGTGTTAGTCCTAACAGTTTTCTATAAATCAACATATAGCAATGAAGTTTGCATGAGATTTGTATTATACAGATTATATTATACAAAACAGCATGTCCAGATTGTAATTTTTCCTACTGAACCTCAACCCTGGTTGTGGGAAAAAGCTACCAGTTAAATGTTGCTGATATACGTACATTATAGACGGTATTTATATCAGAATGTGTGTGTGTTCCAGGCACAATGCAGGTTCAGGAGAGGCAGAGGATTGTGGAAAAGAGCCGCGTGAATGAGCTGGAAGTGCCGTCCAAGAGAGAACTGGCCATTGTAAGTAAGTCCTGTCTGTCACAGTTGGCTCACTGAGCCTGAGAAAGACTGCAGATTTGAAAGCTGTTACTTAGATTCAAAGACGCATTTTATCCTAGAGATCATGGAAGTTAAAGGCACACTGTGGAACTTTTCAACCTTTATAATATATTACCAAAACCCATTGAGATGGTACATCGACTTACAATAGGTTGAATGACACGTCTGCCGAAGCCTGAAGGTGTCTGTATCGCTTTTACTAGCACTATGTAACTTCGGGTTTCGGGTAGGAACCCGAGCACAAAAAGAACTACAAAATTCGACCGCTTTACGGCATACGTCACTTCCCCCACCACCCCAACTTCCTCAAATTCTAACGTGAGAGCTCAACTCGCGTTTGATTGCCGGCGTCTGTATGTTGTCGTCATGGCTGAATCAACAGCTACTCGGAAGAAAGCGAAGAAAGCAAAGATTTTGTCAGAGGAGACCAAAAAAAGAAAAAGGGAGAGTTTAAAATAAACATCGGCATAAAAGTGTATAGCCTATATTTACTGCGAATTCGTGTAACAAAACTGATATAAGTCACAACATACTGCCGTATACAAATGTAAATGTAAATGTTTTTTTTCCTTTCAGCTCATATATGTTTGTATTTGTGTAAAAGGAAAAACAAACTGAAGACTACAAATAACGGAAATATGTAGTGAGTTATATCAGTTTTGTTACACGATTTCCTGACTACTCGATTTCATCTCCAACCCATTGCAAAGAGATCCTGAAGACGTTAATTGTTTGCTTCAGGTGTGTTTGATTAGGGTTGGAGATGAACTGTGCAGGACAGACGATCGGCAGGAGCAGGATTGGGCAACCCTTGTCAATGCGACTTACCTGATCAGACATTGTTTTCTGCGTATGCTACTTTTATTCAATTTGTTTTCTTTATAGGATTTATATTATTAATCTTATATTTATATAATTATTTTGGTCAGTAGTGAATCGATTAACTTTCTCCAACATACAAATCAAATGCCGTCTGCACACACATAAAGACACGGGAGGTTGACCGGTTGACTGTTTGTTGACTTTTGCGACAATGCTGCGGCGCTTGTGGCCTCTAGGGGCACTAGACGTGAAAATTACAGGTCGAGCGCACCCTAGTGGCCAAAAATTCCACAGTGTGCCTTTAAATAATAACAAATGTCTTTGAAAGAAAACGTTGAATTGCAGTAATAATAAAAAAAAGGCATTGCTTTAACAGTGCTTGCAATTCAATGCATTGCACTATTTTCAGGGCTTGCATTTTTGGGGGCTGGAATTCAACATGGTTTCATCAGCTTAATTTCCTAAATATTCAGTCTGTTTAAAAACAACACCTATAATATTCAACAGCCAATTATCATTCCATTTTATTTCACTTTACAAAGTGGTTCAAATTCGGCTGAATATTCCACTTTGCACATTTGGGAACTGCAGGAATAGCAGTAGAGTACCGAAGCTTAATCTCCATCTGCCGTTAGTCACCTAACCAGCAGGAGGTGCAAGCGGGTGCTAACGAGAACCAAAGCAACAGGTTGAGCCATTCATTCATTCATTCACAAAAACTCATTTAGAAATGGAGCAAGCAGTAAGTTATGATTATCAGGGCCAGTATATATGTAGGACATTTTAAAAACTTAACGTTAAAACACTGGCTTACTGGTCTACCAGTGATATAAAAAGACCAAACTCAGTCAGTGTAGACCTTATTGATGAAGCATACTATATACAGGCACGCAGTTTGTCGTTATTTTTCTTCCATAAGAGAGTAAAAGTAGCCAAAACCCTTTAAAAGAAGAAAATAACATCACACATCGCCAGACTTAAGCTGACATTCATGGCTTCTGAATAGTGATGGGCAAAATTTATTTACTAGTTTGGATTCAATTTTTCTGATTGATTACACCTCTCTGTGTTTTTTGTTTTCTCCTATTTGTCTCATTGGTGAACTTTGTTTCAGCTTTCATCATCCTGTAGCTTTTCTGCTGATAATTTCTTCTCAGATTCATCTTTGTATGCTGAGATTTAGTGTCTTTATCTTAATTTTGTACTCGTTTATTCTTCCACTTCTACATTTATACCACTTTGGCTGTATTGTTGTTATTGCTCTTCAATATTTTCCCCTCAACTAAAGAGGTTTATATCTTGCATGTAAAATCCCAAAGACACATTCTTTAAATTTCCTGGCTTCCTAATTATTAATGATCTTTTCTAAATCAGACCTAGTTTTTTTTTTCTCTAGACAATCAGTATATAAGATATGAACACCTTTAATCAGCAAGGATGAAAGTAAATACATTTGTTAAGTTAAAAAGATTTCTATTTCAAATAAATGCTGTTCTGTTTAACTTTCTATTCATTAAATAATCCTGAAAAATTAAATAAATCAGTTTCCACAAAAATATGAAGCAGCACAGATGTTTTTAACATTGATAATAATGAATATTTCTTAAGCAGAATTTAGAATATTAGAATGATTTTTGAAGGATCATGTGACACTGAAGACTGCAGTAATGATGCTGAAAATGTTGCATCACAGTAATAAATTACATTTGAAAATATATTACAATAGAAAACATGTTATTTTAAATGTCAATAATATTTCACAATATTCCTGTTTTTACTGTATTTTGATCAAATAAATGCAGCCTTGGTGAGAGCATAAGAGACCTTAAAACATGTTCAATCTTACCGACCCCAAACTTTTGAACAGAAGAGTAGAATTTAATGGATGTCCATTCTCACGGCCCTGTCTCTATGCATTTAGGAAGTGGTTGAAAATCTAAGAGAAAATCTAGAAGAAAAGCAAGACATGGTGCTGTCCCTCACAAGCATCATGGATAAGATAACTAAAGAAAACCAGCATCTCAGAGTCAAACAGGAAGAGCTACAGGTAACATGTCTCCATTAACGGTTGCTTTAACTAAAAACAAAAGTATAGCTGCAACAAACTTCACCAATTTTTTACTGGTTGTTGTTAGTATTATTTTTGTATGATTGAGATACTGTTGTTATTGTTTTTTTTATGTCTATAGTTTTTATTAACTTTATTTCAGTTTTAGTTTTACTCATTTTAGTACATCAATGTAAACTTAATTTAAATGAGAAATGTTGCTTTGACAACTAGCTGAAAATATTTTTTTTTGTATATTTTATTTCATTTATAGTAACGTTACTTAAGGTTTTAGTTTTAGTTAACTTGGTTGTATAGTGGACTTGCCACATTAACAGTTTGGCTTCCTGTTTGAAAACACAGGCCCAAAGACAAGATTTATATGAGCAACTGACGCAAACCAAGAGTGAGATGGAGTCTCGGCAAAAAGACCTGACCATGGAGAACCAGGACCTTAAAATCACTCTCGAGCGAGAAGAGTCATCTCTCTCGGCCCTGCAGGAGGAACTGAGGTACCTGCGGGGACAGATCCAAGAGCTGGAGGAGAGAGGAGCCGGGACCGACTCAATCCTGTCCGAGAACCAGCGACTGAAGGGCTACTTGCAGGAGGAGAAGCAGAAATTACGCAACTTCATGAGCCAAAGGGAAGCTCTGGTGGCCGAGGCTCAGGTGTTGCGGAAAGAGCTCGATAAAGAGCGGAAGGCAACGGACAAGCTGAAGGAGGAACTGGAGGAAATGAGTCCGAAAGAGGAGGATGTTGAGGGCAAGACGGATCCAGAGACCGAAGAACTGCAGGCTCAACTTCAGGAGCTCGAAAACAAGTTGAAGTTTGAGCAGCAGCGCTCTGATCTTTGGGAGAGACTGTACGTGGAGTCGAAGGCGGAGAGAGCCAAGGGTGACAGGGACGTAAAGACCAAGATTCCCAAGGATGGGATGCTAGGAAAGGTGAAAGAAACGTTTGATGCTGTGAAGAATTCCACCAAAGAGTTTGTGCACCATCAAAAGGAGCAGATCAAGAGGGCCAAAGAGGCGGTTAAGGAAAATCTCCGGAAGTTTTCCGACTCCGTTAAATCCACGTTCAGGCATTTTAAAGACTCTGCCTCAAACGTGTTCAACCATGAAAAGAGGTTTCAAGCCAGGAAACCCGAGCATCAAACGTTTCAGCAAGAGCAAGGAAACAAACGTGCCGAAGATTGGCAGCCTCAGAAACCTTTACACCGACATCCTCACAAATCGACCATTGACTCTTTCTTTCACGCTGATCGCAACACTCGCAAACCTGGTAATCAGAAAGCCCACACTACTATGGGTCAGAAAATGCCACTCAAAGGCTGTTCGGGTGTTTTTGACTGTGCCTATCAGGAGTCGATGAGTCTGTTCAATAAGGCAATGGACCCCATTCGTGCGGATGAGTTTAACGAACTTCTGCGCAGTTATTTGCATAAAGAAGTCAGCCATTTCCACCACTGGAGAGAGCTGGAGAGCTTCATCAATAATTTCTTCCATAACGGCGTCTTCATCCACGACCAGATGCTGTTTACGGACTTTGTCAGTGGCGTTGAGGACTATCTTGAGGAAATGGACGAATATCACAGTCTCAGTGATGATGTGTTTGAGGATCTGGACGACTACATATACCGGCACATATTTGGAGATACGTACTTAAAATACTTTGGGCCAAGGTAAGCCATTTTGTGGTGTTGAAATAATCTTCTTTGTTACTAGACTTTGGAGATATAGCTAGTGGAGTTATAAACATGAGCCTGCTTTACTTCCATAATTTGCATATTACTTTGCACATGACATTTTATCCATGAGGAATGGATTCTTCGATTATGTTGTTTCTAATCTTTTTACAACGCATTAACTACGTAAACATCAACATCATTTAGTAAATGATCCAAATTGATAAGTACATAAAATGATGTTAAGGTAGTAAAACTACTATAGTTTGGCAAATGTAGGTGTTCTTATACTGATGTTATAATTGTTTATTTGGGAATGAAGGCAACAGAGTTAAATCCACAGGCCAGTGTTATTTATTTGTATGACCTTTTTATGTACTTCGTATATAAAATTGTATTTATTAATATTTTGAGTTGGCTTTTATTTTATATTTTGTTTTCATTTTAATTTAAAAAACAAAAAACACTGTCCTCTATGGATACATTGTCACTTCTATAAAAGAGCAACATTTATTGTATTTTTGAGATCATTTCTGTACAATTCTGTTTTAAACTATCAACACACAGATTGTCCATATAGACTTGTATTAGAGAAATACAAAAGCCTGCCTGATAACATGGTGGATAGCAACAGTTGTTAAGGGAGAATTGGCCACTGGCCAGTAATGTTTATGAGGAGGAGTTTAGCAAAGGGTCGGTTGGTTGGATTGTGAAAAGTGAATATTTGAAACCGGAATAGAGCCAGTGATGGGTGATTTCTTGTCTGTGATAATTTTTAGTATACTAGCATGTTGTACTACATTTAGCATGTTCATAACCATGTTCGTCTCTGTTGCTTCTCTGTCTGTAGGTCTGAGAAACAGTAGAGTCTGCATGTTGACACGCATGAGGCTTTGTGGCAAACCCTAAACAATTTCCTGTTTGTAAATTTGCAGTCGTCCCTTCAAAGCGTCGGGGTCGAAGGGTAAAGCATGGGGTCATTGTCAGCGGCAACAGAGGAAGCACCAGCAGCCACGACCTCGGCCTCAGAGAACGAAGAAATGGAGCCAATCAGAACGCGACCCCAATCGGCAGTTCACAGATGTCAAAATAGAGCTGGGTCCCATGCCCTTCGATCCCAAATATTAACAGAAACATTTTAGTTCTTTGTAATGTTGCTCCTTTAGCAAATTTGTTGTATCTTGGAGGAGATTAAATAATGCTTTGGACTTTTGCACATGTAAAATACTGTTCTAATGCTGGTTGAATGATTCTAGTGTGTTTCTCTTTCTGCACTACGGTGATGGCAGAGTCTCAAAGTTAGAGAATACAAACTGCATTTTTTTTTAGCAGTTTAGAATTAATTATAGGTATTTTTGAGGCAGATTTATGTTCCCCAATTCCCTGAACTTGTGGAAAAAGTATTTAAATAATTGAAAATCATTTTGAACGCGTAACAAGTGGGTAAATTATTTTGATTCGGGGCTAGTAACCAAAAAGCACTTTGTATTGTATCATTTTAAATAATTCATGACAATGGTTTTCTAAACAAAAAACCTTGTGTTCCAGTTTGCTTAGGGCCAAATAACCAATCAAAATAAATTATATTGAAAAAAAGCTCAGATGTTCAGATGTAAAATAATAATTAAAAGATTACGCATCATTATAAGGGTAACTTTGAAGTGGTCTGGTTTGACTGGTTGTCACTTGGCTGTTTTATTTGAGCATGCTAATCAGTTGTTGTTAGTTCCCCCTCTTTTTTGTGTGTGGTTAGCGGCTAAGTAACATTCCTTGTTTTGAAACAGCTGTAAGATGCACTAGTCATCTGCTCTAATGTAATTGAACACAAATGCACTTAACTGCTTAATGTTAACTGTAGAATAAAAGTATTTCTATGCTTCATTGGTAATTGTTTTCCTGCTTTGACCTATTAAGCTAAAAACAGATCTGGATTTTACACTGGAAAAGTGTTTGTGATTCTGGTGTGAAATTAGAGAGAATGTAACAAAACAAAAGCAAGTCTTTATATAAGTTTGCAATCGGTTGTACATCTTCAAACTATAAAAATGAATCAATCTTCAGTCCAGATCCTCTGGTGTATATTAGTATGTTTTTTCCCACTCGACCTTCAGGAAAGTGAGTGTGGAATATTTCAGCTTGTTTGGTAAATCTGTTTTCTTCCAGGAATGCTGCAATCTCCTAAAAGAGAAAGAAACAAAATTAGTCTCAAGAAAATAAGTGAACTATTAAACTGTAGGTCCTGCAGCATTTGCGCTCCAAACTGAAATGATTCCTCAAATCACATGAGCAATTGGATTTACGACTTGCAGGGAAGTACCACCTCAGGTTTCTTCAGTAAGTGTAAACATCAAGTGATTTAATTTGACTACATTTAATTGCTTTTGATCTTTTACCTTCTCCAGGAAGTCAAACAGCACTATATGTGATGGTAACGTCGACTGAGATGGAAAGGATGTTCTGAGCCAGTGAAGAGGGTTGGAGAAGAACACGGCTGCTTCATCCACATACTCCTCATTTGCTGTAAGATCAGGTGGACACTCCAGGAAACGCAGTTTGAGGGGACAATGCAGGTGACTAGAAAACACAAGGGGAACCATGACGTCACATCATCTTATTGCTTTAACCCTATGAAGCGTACTCTATCGTATTTGAAATGTAATTTTTATTGATCAACATGATCAAAACTTTGCTGAAAAACCTGTTTTGTACAAAATCTACTACATGCCTTCTGTCATGTGATTGTTTTTTTTAGCAAGTAAAAGGACTTTTAGTATAATTGCAAAACCATATACATTCAGGTCATGGGTTACGTGTTGTTGTTTGTTTGGGTTTTTTTTTGTTTTTTTTTTGCTGTGAAATATTTAGTGATTCTTATAAACTTAAGATAAGAACTTTTATATTGCTAGTAACAACTTAGGTTTACTTGATTTTTTTTGTTTTAAATCAAAAAAGTTCCTTATGAAAAATCATGTTGAAAAGTGAGTATCAAATATGATACATCATGATCAGGGCTTTGAGGAATGTTTCTTTGTTTACCCCTTAAACATCATTGTATTGCTTTGCATTATGTTTTAAAACTACAGAGATTTTATCATAAAACTAAGCATTTAAATATAATTTCGTATTATCAGCAGATATTGAGCGACAACTGATATTTAAATGCATTTTATGCAAGTTGTTATAAAGATCTCACTGATTTACATTACAAGCTATCAGAATTTCACCTCACTGTTTGGTCATATAAATATCAGCAACTGCACCAAATTGCAAATGTTTGCTCAGTTTGGACCTGAATAAAATTGGTGCTTTTTTCCTCCATATTCATACTACATCATACTTTATGATCCATAAAAGCTTGAAACATTATGTTTTCTAAAATGTTTGTATTCTGAATATGCAGATGCTCACCTGTACAGTGGTGTGGAGTGACACGGCATGAGGAACAGCAGCTCAGTTGAGTTCTGCGAGTCGCTGATGTCACACAGTCGTTGCAGGTCATGCATGACATCCAGATTTCCACGCTGGTGAATTAAACCAGTATATAAGGCAGGAAACAGATTGAGCACCAGCAGTGCACCAGCAGCAGTTTTCCTCCACGCTTGTAGCTTCGCTAAAGATATACCTGTCAGTAAGAGAGCATGAAGACCTTCAGAGCAGTTTCAAATCTTCACAAACTGCTAATACTCAAGAAATACTCACCGCAAAATATCATACAGAATGGCAACACTGGATAAATAAACCGGAACTCCTTGTGTGAGAGCAAACTGCAAAAAGCATATTTCATGAGCAAAACGTAAATGGTTGTCCATGCAGAAGTTGCTGACACAATGCTATGGCATCTTGGCCTGACTCTATATGATATGTTGTCTCTAGATAAGTGTTACAGATTTTCTCAGTGCACCTGTAAATGGCTGTAGTCCATAAGATGGTTATTAACAGGATTCTGTGCTTTTTGGTGGCCAGTGAACATCCGTGCATGAAGAACGGTAAGTGAGGTCCGATCACGACCAGCAGACCCTGAGTGAAGTACCAGTGCCACGGATGAGCTCCATAAAACTCCGCCACATTGTGCAGCACATTAAACTTCAGGAAGTTCCACTGGACAAAGATCCACTTCAGAAATACAAACACATGATGGTCATTCAGATGATACATGCAATTCATACTCCGATCTATGCCTGAAAGCTTCATGTTTTCAGTTTCGGTCATTTATTATTGAAAACACTGTCAAGAACATGTCCGGGTCATATTTCATCCAAAAATAAACAAATAATTATTTTTCATAAAGATTGATAACTGAGCACATTTCCCTCCCTAATTCTTGTTATATGTCCAAATGTTTTACTTTTGATTTTGTTAGTGATTCTCATTATTCCTTACTGTTTTTTTGCAATAGCATTATATTCAGTGAGTGCAAGAAATATATGTATATACTCTAGTCTAGATACTTTAGAATTGAAATATTGAAAAAAATATATATATTATAAAATATTTTATTTATTTTATATTTATATATATATACTAATATCAGACTTTATTATCTTTATGCAAAATGCGGTTCCTTATTTATGTCATAGTTATTCTTAACTAAAACTATTTTAAAAACATTTTTGTTAATTGAAAAATGAAGCTGAAATAAGATCAAATACAAAAAACTTAAAGGTAAATTAGAAATCATAAAATAAGTTTTAGTTGAAGTACTAAAATGACTAAAACTGAAATGAAAAGAAATTAAGTTAAATAGAAAATGACAAAAGCACATAACAAAATAGCTAAAAGTAAATTGAAAAAATGAAAATCAAAAATATTAATTCAAAATATTAATAAATACTATAATAGGTCTTTTGATTTGGGTTTGAAATATGACAGCATTATCTTTACGGACTTTGTGAGCAACACGATCTATTCCTCCAAAAACGGTAGTGTTTGAAATAAAAATCAATACATTTGGTGTCTTGGGCTTTTTGTTCAGTAGAGAAATACAATTTTTTTTTCAATCAGAAAGTCTGTAAAAACAGTAAAAAAATACCTTTCCATAGAACACAGAGTCTATCAGTGTCGAGACGGCCAGTGCAAGAGCCCTGCACAAATGATGGAAACATTCATGAACTAACAAAGATTATTGCTGGTATCCAAACTACAAGTGAAAACAAATGCAACATGTACGCAATGGGAATGCATTGCTGTGTGATGAGCTTCAGCTTGTTCTGTTCCCCACAGAAATGATAGAACAGCAGAGGAAGCCAGACGATCAGAGCTGTGGGACGGATGACTACGGCCAAGGACACCAGACACAAATACTTCCAGCTAAAAAGGAGAGAAACGAAAAAGTTTCATCTATGAGTCTCTGAAAGGTTTGTGCAATCACTATAGTGTTGTAGAGCTGCACGATTAATCGTTAAAAGATCGCAATCTTATTCCTAAATGACAACGATTCGCTGTCTATTAAAGGTAGGGTAGGCAATGTTTTTCATAAACACTTTTGTTATACTGGTTGAAACTCTTCACATTCTGATAGCAAACAATAATAGAAGTGATCTAAATATTATAAAATGTACATACAGTATATCTTCTGTGGAAGTCTCGGGACCAAACAATGTTCGTCCAATATGATGTCCAACCTCCCTGTCACCGTATGTATTTGCATACCTCCAAATGCTCACACAGAGACCACACGTCATCAGCGTGTTTCATAAGGCTATGCATGAGTTGTAGACATTCACTGAGCGCTGCAAACAAACAGCAGCCACCTTTTACAGTTCATCCTGAACCAAACCAACAAGCTTATGCTGCGTTCACGCCCAAACTACTGTAATTAGGAGATGGCAACCCGTGATGTTATGCATTTCTATCAACGCTGAAATGAATCTGCAGCAGTCAGGTGGTACAAGTCAGCACTCTTCAAGTTGTTTACGTTCTTTGAGGCATGAGGCGATTTAACTCTGTCCCGTAGCGCTGTGTGCTGTGCGTGTTCATGTGTTTTGGAGGAGGCGTGGCTTTGGAGATGCTCTGAAGGGATGGTGGGATCTCATACTTTCAAAGCTAGCTTGCTAGCCTTTCCAAAATTGCCTACCCTACCTTTAAACCTTTGACAGGTACAATCACAGCGATTCAAATTTGCGTTGGTGCTGCTGCTGAGACAGAGGGCAGTTGTCATATATAGGTATGAAACAGCCTCACAAATAGTCTTTTCAACCACACAGTATCAACATTTCTGTGTTACAAACATTCAAATGATCACAGAAGTACTGGGATATAGGTTTATAGTTCAGATATAAACACTGATGTCTACGATAGCGATCAAAATAGAGCTTCAAATAAAGATTGTATCCATTACATCGTTACACCAGTAGGTGACTTAAAAATGTATTTGTCATTAAATCATCCATTCAAGAGATTCGTTCAAAAACGCTGATTCATCTATGAGTGACTCATTGAATAATTCATTCAAAAAGATTTTTTTTTTTTAATCATTCAAATTAAATAAATATATTTTTTAAAAAGACTGCAGCAATTAACATTTTATCGAAACCTCTAGAAAATTACGTGTTATTTTGTTTTGGGAGAATCGTGATCTCTATATAAAACAAATAAATCATGATTCTCGATTTATCCAGAATCGTGCAGCTCTAGTGTGTAGATAGGACACTAAATGATGCACCTGTTGTGCATTTTGGAGCCGGGTAACGGGTAAAAGCAAAGTGCCAGGGTGGTCAGAACCGTTTCCATGGTGTTGGTCAGAGTCCGACTGCAGCAGTACCAGGTGAACCATGAACACAGCTGACAGAAACACTAAGAAAACACAGCAGAACTGAGTGGAACGAACACAAAGCATTCAAGCTTAATGCATTGTTTGTGTATCTGCTTGATGATTATCAAGGGAACATCATCTTACCGTCCATTTGGCTACATCTGGGGTTTCCCACTGCAGGACGAGGTGGTACAGCTTCACGTCGGCATATGCAGCCAGCAGCGCCTGGAAAACACGTGGCAAAAACACCTGCAAAAACAGGTAAACATGTTAAGGAAACATTACACTTGCTGTCAATATAATACACTGAAGTCTTACCAATAGATACGCTGTGTCATAATTCATCAGATCCAAGAGTTTATACATCAGAGCGAACAGGAGAGGATAAGAGTATCCTCGGATGCCTTCCTTCCATTCCCAGGTCTCGTAGCCATAAGTGAGAAACAGGTTAAGGATTTCATTTACAGTGAATGTTTCTAAAGTATTATATTCAAACTAAACAACTTTTTTGCAATTCAGGTCATAAGCAAAGATATCTGAAGACCATTCGATGGGAAATCTCAAGGGACTGCCAGTACTCATCTGGGACGAAGCTGGTCTGAACAAGGAGGCAGTTGAGCAGGCGGAATATGACAGTGAAAACTGAGACACTGATGCCAAAGAATTCTGCAGAAATGACAGTTAGCAGGTGCAGATAGTAGAAGCAGGGTCACTGATGGCCAATATAATGCTGATTAATATAATGGATGTTTTACTTTACTTTAGTTTAGTTGTAGCACTATTTCTGTAAATTTGAAAATCATGCTTTTCCCCATTATTGTTGAATCACGGAAGCTACACCAGATATTTTGCCAAGAAATCTCAATGTATTATTTTATACATGTATCAGACATAGGAGAGAAACAATCTATAGTCTGCATTTTAAACGTCATAAGATAATACAACTGATTATGAATACTAATAAAGAATAATAATACAGATACATAATATTAAATAATGAAATTATATTAAAATATGAAATTTTAGTGTTCAATTTCAATTTCTAATTCATTCTTAATGTGGGTTTCATTGGATATTCATTACAGTTTTTAAAAAATAAAATTACCATTCAGTGCAAGAAAAACTATCATTTACAAATACTTTACCATTTAAATGCAATTAAATAAATATATGATAAATACAATTTAAATAGCCTACATAATTATTAAATACGACATATTCAATTTCATTTATATTTTATTGCAGGCAGTAATTTTTGGAATAGGGAAATATATTTAATTGTCTTAATAATATACTTCAATATCTTCAGCATCTCAAAATGTAATTCCTTTTTCATGTTTTTTTTTGTTGTTGTTTGTATTAAGTTAACGATCTATGTGCGCAAAACTGTCTATTTATGGAAAGCAATATTCATGTTACAGTTCCCAGAATCCTGCCAATTTATGTTAATTTAATGAAATGGTTATTATCTATTATATTATTTTCTTCCCATTAAAACACATTTGGCTGTAAAGTGAGTCTAAACCCCAGGTTCAGGACTCTCACCAAGTGTTTGAGGTCTCCTGTCATCTGTGCTGTACAGAATGGAGCTCCTCTTCCTCAGTCTCACTGATTCACATGAGGATTTGTTCTGTTTGAAGCGCTCTCGAATCTTTTCCATGTCTCCACATTAACCTCAAATGGGCTTCAATGTTCAGCATTTTAACTCCGACTGTAAATGTTCATTTTCTGGCGCTTTTACTGAGTGCTTTCTGCATTAAATGTGGAAACTAGATTCATTTCCGTGTTTGGGTCATGGTGTCCCATAGTAATATATACATAGATGCCTCATTAGCGGCCGCTTCGTCAATACTCGTCAGCCATATTGGAGCGGTCGGTGAACAATCGACTCAGCATCTGCAACCTTAGTTAGACGCTTGTAGTATGAAAATCTATATATAAAATAGACTCCAGCAGATGATTTTGCTAAACTAACACAATACAACAAGACGAAGACATCAGCTGACACGACATTAAAAAGTTACCATAGTTAAAGTAAAAACTTTAAAAGTACATCAGCAAAAAACTATTGTACAGTTGTTTTAATACTTAAACACAAACCAAGACATTCTCACATGTGAAAGGTTATCCCATTTCTTCGGGAATTTAAATGTCGACGGTTTCACAACCAAAAGCTGTGCTATGTTGTAGCATTATTGATTCTTACTGTGAGTGACGGCACGCTGACCGTTGCAAAATGGCGGGCGCACCTACGTGTCTGGAGCGGTGCAATGTGCCATCTACGTATAGATATCTATGATGGCGACCGTCCCACATTATGCAGGTTTTGTAACGCTTAATGTGTAATGTTTATAATAATTTTAAGTTCATTTAAATATGTTTCGTGGCTCATTAAATAGACTCTGAAACATTATTATGAATGTAGTTTGAAAAAAGGCGGAAATGTACACGTCGCATTTGGCCTGCGTGAGTTGCCGTAGTCGCTCGTTCGTCCTTGTCTTACATGTGTTTTAACCTTTTTTCTTTTTTTTTACAGTCTATGGTTCTGTTCACGTCTGTCAAAACTCAGTTAACATTCGGAAAATATAGAAAACATCAGGGTGAGTAAGAAAAACAGCAATTAGACGTTAGACATTAGAAAATTAGACGTGGTAGAATGTTATCGTAGTGTTTCTGCGTAAGCTTCATATTTAAGTTAATATTGTCATCTACAATCATGCTGATGCACTGTAATGTACAGATTGTGCAATTATACATCAGTAATGCATACGCAAAATACTATAAACAGCAGCTAACAGAAGACCTGATAAACAATATGTAGTGACTACTGAATTTCCTTTTTTCTTTTCAGGAGTGGGATGTTTTGTGTCTCTAATGGGTTGTGTTCCTTCTTAACATAAGATCATGTTTGGAAGACGGATTCCCTTTAATCAGATAGCAGTTGCTACTCTGGTTGGAGTGGTGGGAGGTGTGTATATATACAGGCCTATATTTGAGGCACCCAGAAAACGTCCAACAACTGCACCAGATCAAGACCTCAAACCAGACTCAAAGGAGCAGAAAGCGGAAGCTACCCAACAAGAAGTACAAGCAAATGCATCTGCAACCAAAGACTGATGTTGAACAAGAGTTTGTGTGAGAGTTTGAATGTTAAATGCTTGTTATTTTCATATACTTTGTAAATGACCACTAAAAGGTTCTAAATAAAATGCCTTATTGTCACTGCAAATAAGCACAAAAAAAATCTACGCCATTCTGTTCATTTATGGATGCACTGTCTGTATACTGTATTGACAGTAAATTTGTTCAGATAAATGGCTTTTTTTTCCATTTGCAATAAAACTAGCAAAGTTGCATGTACCAAATACAATAGTATTTAATATACAATAGTATAGCTATAATATAATATTAGGCTTAAAGGGATAGTTTACCCAAAATTTTAATTCTGTCATCATTTACTTTTACATTTGTTTACAGGGGCAGTGCACATTAATAAACATACGTAGATGTAAATATGCCCAAATTAACCAAAAAGGCTACTTTTGATCTGTAGACCCTTGACAGAATGTTTAAAAAGTCACCCTAAAAACAAAGCATCTTATATTAATACACACACAAGAGAATTTTTTTTTTATCAAATAAAAAAAATACAAGTACATGATTCCACACGGAAATCATGCTAAAATACAGAAATTTTTGTCTAAACATATATTGTGTTACATAAGAGGTAAGACAAATTTGTTCCAAACATGTATGAATTTCTTTGTTATGTGGAACGTAAAAGATTTTGAAGAATGTTGTGTGGCACCACTGACTTCCATAGTTTTTTTTTTAATATATATTATTGGAATCAATGTGCCCCACAACTGTTTGGTTGCTGACGTTCTTCAAAATATCTTCCTTTGTGCTCAGCAGAAGAAAGAAATTCATACATGTTTGGAACAACTCGAGGAGGAGTAAATGATGACAATTTTCAATTGTGTGTGAACTATCCCTTTAAATGCAACTTCAGTGCAGTCTCCGACTCAAGTTTCCATCTACTGTACAGTTCAGAGCATAAGCTTGCATCCTGGCAGATTTGCAAAATGTTCGTTTAAAAAATAAAGATTTTTTTATTTATAAAATAATTATAATAAAATGAACAAATAAAGAGGAATCATCTATTACAAAATGTGTAAACTTTCACTGATAGAAATTACCTTTGACATCATACCACCAGATGTCGCTACACACACACTTACGGCTCTGAAAGAGTTCCTCTTCTGTTGCACTATTTGAGCGTATTTTAAATGCAAAAACCAAAGCCTGGCACTAGTTAAATCAATTTAAGGCTCAGAAAGTGTTTTTCTGTGTTCTTAAAAGAAGAAGTGGCGCGAACGAACGCATCCTACAATGGCGAAGGCTTGGCTCATGAATATTTAGAACGCAAGTGACGTTCGTCCGATAGTACTTCACGATTGGCTGATTTTATGGTAGAGGCTGGGCTCATAATAATATTAATGACTTTATTTGATGGGGTGGTCGCTCAAGGCTCCAGGCTAAGCAACGTCAGGCCTTACCTAATTAATAATTATGAGCTAAACGGATTGGCGCTGCTGCACGGGAAGTATTGCGTCACTGAACGGCCGCGTACACACGCACTGGTGCTTCATGTAGGTGTGGGAGCAACTTTAACAAAGTGTCCATCGCTTCAGAAGTCTCACACATTTTGTACTTGTTCGCCGTTGGTTTAATATTTTCGAAAGAGCTTTTAAAATCCAACGATATCAACAGACGTTCGGGTCACTGTCCTGGTAAGTACATGAATTAGTTTTTAACTCTTCCAAGGGTGATAATAATAACAGTTTGATAATGTCTTGTCAACACGTTTATTTTAAAGTCTTACAATTTGGCTTTTTGATAATATATTTTTGTATTGACTAAACAGACACGCAATATCTAATGATGATTAAGACTTATAAACATCTTACATATGGTGTGTCCTACTAGTTATGCTAGTCATAACAATGAGTGTTTAGTGATAGACAGCTGCCGTTCATGGGTTTGAATTATCTGTACACACATGTGGCTCTATCCTGGATCAGATGTAATCATCTCAAACACACATGATGCATATATGATTATGACCTAAAATTATAATCTGGTCAGAGAGGAAGAATTGTCCAGGGAATTTACCTGCCTCACTTGGGGAAATACACTGCTTCACTCCCATATCAGGTTACCTGTCAGGAATGTTTGGTTTAGGGATCATTTTTCCTTTTGAATGATCAATTTTCCTTTCTTCCTTGCTTAACTTTGGAAATACTCTTAAGTAACTGTAAGACATATGTTTGTGACTCAGAATTGATCTATTATGTGTGGATTGATTTACCACGATCACAGTTTGACACCCTTTTATTTGTAACACAGAGTAAAAGTTGAAGTTTGAGACTTCAGAATATTTCTCCCTCCAAAATTAACATGTCTCATCCTGATGTCATTCCAAAATCTGCTATTTTCTTTCTTCCTTTTTTTTACTTGCAAAATGTCCTGCTTTTTAAGTTAAGGTTATGCAGTAAAAGTTAATGGTAAGTTCAATGATGTTTGGTCACCAGGCATTCAAGAACCAATTACATTGATGTCACTTCCATCAGACTTGAGACATCTTAATGCACCATATTTGAGAATTACAGCAGAAGGGACACTTTTCAATAAATATTTAATAGACTTAAATATCAGTCAGTTCCACACACGAATCTCTCATATAGGCTAACTTACGAAGACTTGGAATATAGTACACAAGTCATATGGACTACTGTACACTGTAAAAAAAAATCCCGTTGTTTTTACGGAAAAAAACTGGCAGCTGTGGTTACCAGAACTTTACCGTCAAAAATACGGTATCAACGTTTTTGGTTTTACAGACTTAACGTAAAATTTACAGTATTAAACCGTAATTCATTATCTGATATAATGATAATTTACCAATCTATTGAAGTATTAATATCTGTTTTGCACCATTGTAATACACTGGTATTGTAACCAACAACCATCACAGCAGTGATGAGAGTCACATGATAAATCAAAGCTCATCACAAGCAATCTTCCACAAGAAAGTTATTACTATTATATTGAAGCTGCACAGTGTTATTCGCACAAACATTAAACACCATCATGGTAATACACAAGAAATTTTAAAAATGCAATAAACATTAATTTAACAACATTAAATGTAACATAAAACCCTAATGTACCTAACTGATTAGAAAAGAACTAAGAAAACTAAGAAGAAACAGTTATTTCAACAAAAATAAATCAAATTTGAAGTGTCATGCAGGGAATTGTGGGAATGTCAATTTACGTTTTTTCACTGTAAATTATACAATGAGTTGTTCTTTTCACTTTCAAAAACTGTAAATTTAACTGTATTTTACAGTAAAATTACATTAAATGTACCGTTAGATCTATCACAGTTATTTACCGTATATAGTAAGGAAACTTTCTGTTAACCAATTAACAGTTTTGCACTGTAGCATTTTTACAGTCTTTTACCGTTAAAATCACGATCATTTTTTACAGTGTATTTTTAGAGCTTGACAGCCCCGTTTAGTTTTATTGCATGTTGGCAGAATATTCTGCTAAACGTTTTGTTTTGCGTAGCATGGAAAAATATTTGGAATGTGGAACATGAAAGTGAGATTTTTGGTTACATTATTCCTTTAAGCATCTCAAAAGAGTAATCTATCCTCAGAAGAACTTCCCACAAAGCTCAAATCATTTAAACTGGCTTATCGTTTTTTTCCCTCTGTTCTAGAGAAAGCAAATGAAATGAACCTTGGCTTGTGCGTGTGTGTTTTTAAGCGGGGTCTTGGCAGGGCTGGGAATCGAGGGTCACATGACAGGATGCCAAGAGCACATGAGCACCAGCTGATGGTTATTAGATAAGCCTGATGTTAAAACTTACAGTTCACAAAACACCAAACAGAGCCTTTATATAAGGCATGGCAAAAATCACTCTTTTGCTTCTATCCAATAGCAAAATTGATACATTTCTTTATTTAGTTAATGAAGATGTTTTCAGCCATTTGGGCACATATTTAAGCCTGTAATGTAATTTCAGATAGCTCTATTGGTATTAGTACAATTTGCATCACTATTGCTTGTCTAAGTATTAGAGTTGAGCTTGTGTGTCGTCCTGCAGCGCTTGTGTTTCAGACATGAATGATTTCTCAAATCATGTGTGTTGTTGAGGAGAGTGTACTGCGTTTACTTCACTAAGTGACCCGATTAACCATTTTCACCTGCTGGACCATAAAACAGGTGAAAAAATCCCACAGACACACATTGAAGGAGGGACCCGAGCCATATGGTGCTTTTAAGTCCTCCTGGGAAGGTTGTGTTTACAATTTGGGAAGTAGTAATTATGACATGAGTGTTCAAATAATTGTGGTCGGAGCAAGTTGGCGGCGGTGTACCTTTTCTACAAAAAAAGCATGATTTTTTTAAAACTCTCTTCTCTTTTTAACTTTGCTTTTTATGTTTTTATTCAAGTTATGAAGGTGCTGTGAAAAGTTATATTCTACCGTAATTGTACAATACTATCGTATTTTGATAACGCTATACTCTAAGGTTCCATTAGTTAATTAACTAACATTAACGTTAAAGCTAATAAATACTCATTATTAGTTAGTCAATAATACAAGGCCCATTAAAAAATATTAACAGATACGCCTTTTGATTTTAATATTGCAGGCCTATATAATAAATGCTTAAATTAAGATTAAATTAAGATTAATAAATGCTTTAGAAGTACTTTTCATTGTTAGTTCATGTTAACAAATGGACCCTTATTGTAAAGTTGTACCCATATTTTGTACTGTACATGCAACTCATTTTATTATAAATAATAAAAAAATAGGACGCTGCATCCATTGTGTCCACCATGTTTTCTCACTGACATGCCTTCAACTTGGAAACTTCAGAAAATCCAGAGTTTCCCCGACTTGTTCATGTGCTTTAGACTTTTAAATACGATATTTCTGACATGACTTCAATGCAGACCAGAAGGTCACAAAGACCTTTTTCTTGCCAGACAGAAAGAAACCATCCAGAACATCCTATAGATTCACTTTAAGTAGTTCACAAGATTCATCTTCTAAAACTGAAAGGTTGTAGTTAAAATGTGATTGTAGTTGTTTTGCAATGGCTTCCAGGCCGAAGACAATGCCTTCTTGTTATGTTTCTTGCGTCAGGTCAAAGGTTATGAGCTTCTGTAGGTCTGCATAGTTATTTTGTCTTTCACACGTTCAGCTTGAAAAGAGGGAAGTGGACAATAAAAAAAGCCAACTTGTCAGAGCTTGACTGTCGGTGAAGAAACTCTGGTGTGAAATGCAGAAGAGGTGTCTGTTCCTGGATCGGCGGCTCTCTCCGCTAGCGCTGGCGTGCCGCCCAGGGTGGTACTCTGCTGGGAATGTTTCGTCTCTGTTTCTCCTGTTCTTTATCCAGGCTTTCATCAGGGCTGTTTTGGTTGGACGGGAAGCACAACTCAAACTCAGGCATTTAGCTAAGCCGTTGCACAAGGCCAGTGATTGTTTAAGCACTTGTGTTGTGTAGATGTGTCTAACTGAAATGAAAGCGTCTGTCGGTCTTCAGAAGTTACTGTAGTTTGAAGTGAACATCACAAACGTGTCAGATGATGCAGTCGAACACTCACCATTTGTGTCTAGAACTGATTCTACAGGGTTTGTGTGTTCATGCTTATATAGGACATAAAGATAAGGTTGTTTTTGCAAATCGGTGCACTTTCCAGACAGTGAAAACTTTTTCTAACCATAATTTGTCAGTTTTTCTGTAACCTACACTATATAAAAACACAGTTGCAGATTTTAGTATGACCCTTCTAAATAAGAGTCTTAAAGTTGAGCAGATTTGTCCTCATAATAGTGATTGTGTGCTTGTTTACAAGCACTGTGGAGCTAAGAAGATCATGTAGAATCAAGTGACTGTGTTTTAATCCATCAGCTTCCAATGTTAACAGTAGTGATAAACTAATACATTTGGTCTCATTGAAACATGGTCTCATTTTTGTGTAAATCATTTGCAAAGCCGGTCGTAAATTTAATTTAAGTTGGTACAAAAGAAATGTACACCTTCTCCTTGCCATGCGTAAAATGGTGCATAAAAGATCTGAACGCTGAACAAAAATGATTTCACTGAATTTTCACTGGATTTTTTTTTTTTTTTGCAAGATCGTTTGCCCTTATAGGTATCGGTAATCTTAAACTCATAAGCCCATATAGGTTAAACAGAGGTGCTTTAGGAAGCGGTTTCAACTTGAACAATGATGAACCCCCAGGGAATACTAGTGCTTGTTAGATAAGTTTGGATGGGTGCTTGTCGTTTTTTTGTTTGTTTGTTTTTTGCAAAAGTTGCATTTACAAAAGTTTAGGGTTGTTACAAGTCTTTTTAAAGTTTTTGAAAAGAAGTCTCTATTGCTCACCAGGGCTGCATTTATTTGATCAAAAATGGTAAAAGCAGTAATATGATTAAATATTGAAGTAACTCTTTTCTATAATAATATAGTCTAAAAATGTAATTTATTCCTGTGATGCAAAGCTACATTTTCAGCATCATTACTCCAGTCTTCTTTAGTGTCACACGATCCTTCAGAAATCATTATAATATGCTGATTTGCTAAATCAGCATATTAGAATGATTTCATGATTCTTGAATGATTTCATGAATTTTTTCAATTGAAACATGTATTATTATTATCAATGTTTTTTTTTGTTTGAGGGGGAGAAAGGGAATTTTT